AGATCTCTTGTGGACGAAGCCGAAGGCGACATCTAGGTCTGATCAAGTAAGAAAATTCAATATTTCTGATTGGCTAGATTGCGAGGTAATGACGTGGGTGTTGTAATCTGCACACGCGATTACAACACTCACGCGTGTGCAATTCATTCTTTGCAAAGCCTTCAGTTTTGTTCAAAACGATATTTTTTAGGAATAGTTAGCTTTCCGTCTTAATATAGCTTTACCCCTTTGTATCTTATCTTAAAAACATTTTAAAATTTTCTCTAGGCATAAAGATAAAGACTTTTCAAAAGGGTATGGTAAAAATGTTGTCTCGTAGAAGTTGACGCTTACTGCTTTAAGATTTGAGCGCGCGGCTATAAATAAACTTACACGAACTGCCACGTTGAATTCTCTTGATGTTACAGAAAACAACAACAACAAATTAGTTGGTTCATACTTAAGCTGTGGGTATAAGCACGTTTTGTAAGAGAAAGTATACAGCTCTATGAAATTCGTCGTTTAACTTGGCCACCGCCATTTTGAGGATTTATTTCAAGCATGTGCTCTTTCATCGCCTGTGACATTCCGTGACAAGCGATTACGTGAACAAATCGGATTTCACAAGTTGTTCAAAAGTAGAATTCGCCTTCGGCTTCGACGACAAGAGATCTGTGTTCGAGATTACTGTATCACTGAAAAGTTAGTTAAATTAGAAGGAGAGCAGCAATAGATCGTTTTCAGTCACGTGGTCAACAGCTTTGCCAATTGCTTGGGATAAAAGAAAGTTTTAACATGTGAAAAGAGTTTAATTCCCACAGGATTTTTTTCGACACTAACATGGCCGCCGATTCATTGTTTTGTACACAAATACGGCCGCCGCGACGTCACTGATGCAAAAACGATCTATATATCTCGTCGAATCTCGGCTCAGTGCTGTTCGTTATATTTGCTGAATCGATTTCTTACGTTACGTTTCATTCCTGAGCGCATCTCCTTGGTGTAGTTTAGTTCCGCATGTGCTTTCAGTCGGTTACGCCGTAACCACAAAAACGCGCAGTACAGTAAGTCAGTTAATGTGTCAAGTAGTCAGTTCTAGTAAGTCTTACAGACCGGCGGTTAGTCGACAGTCTGTTAGTCAATTTCACTGTCTATTGTCAGCTGGTTTGCAGTGAGTCATTGAGTCTGACAGTCACTAAGCTCGTCAGTTTGACTGTAGATCAATCAGTCAATCCGTGAACTCGGAACACTTAATAATTTCCAACAGTTCCACAGTTGTAAGTCGGTCAATCAGAAGATCAAACAATCAACCATGCAACAATTCGCTCTATCTATTCTACAAGAAACAAGTCTCTTATCACTTCTTTTCAAACGAAGCTGTAATTACTTTCAATTGACTAAGTGAAAGCGTGGGCGAGCGGAAATCAGTGTCCCCGAGTTCAAGTCCCTCCATGACCGCCGTCAGTTGGGATTTTTAACCCTGTTAAGTTTGATTTGAATTATTTGTTTCAGGCATTTGCTCGGCCCTACTAGCATTATTGCTACAACTACTGCCGAGGGTAAATAACGGAATTATTATTATTATTATTATTATTATTATTATTATTATTATTATTATTATTATTATTATTATTATTATTATTATTATTATTATTATTATCACTATCATTACTAATACCATTATAAAAAGTAAAATTATTCTGAAAGATTAAATATCAAGTTCATCGATGTTGTTGTTGATTTTTCCTCTTTGTTTTCCGGTTGCTTTTTTAAAGACGTTTGCGTTGTTTTTTCTAATGAAAGATATTGCTTTCTCCCTCGGTTGAGTAAGAATATCAGGTGATGAATTCGTTTTTGCAATACCAACGAACCAGAAAAACCAAACGTGCTGAAATTCAGTTACGCCCTCCACCCAGCTCGATCCGCCCCCACTATTCACCCCACCCTCACTTTTCTTAGCGGCACAAGTTATTTTTATGCGGATAGTGGTTGTGCGGGATATTGTTGTTTTTACAACCATGTCCACTACTACAATACTCCACCAACGTAATCTACTTGAGAAAATGATGACAGAGAATACAATATATGAGAATAATTAATCAAAGCACGTGTGCAAAGCACGCACTGTGAAGTAAGAAAAAAAAAGAAAATGACAAATACGTATGAGGTCGTCTGACAACTGTATTGATCTCACCTCAGCCTCGTGTACAATAAAGTCGCCTACACTGTATGTTGTCATTGGATAGGCAACTGAAAAATTTAATTCTCAGATCGAATGCAAAGCTATCAAGTCAGCTTGGATTAGAAGGGGAAACAGAAAAATAAACAGAAAACACGCACTTCCCTATATCGTTAAATGACCTGAATTTCTCCAGATCAAGGCAAATCGTAATTATAGACATCAACTGATTTAACACAACTCCGGTGGCACGGAGGTATGTGCACTTATCTTCAAGCAATTTAAATGCGACATTTAGAAAACGTTCAGCTGGCCACGGAGTATTGTTATGTTGGACCCAGAACTGAACTCGATCATCAGCATCAACATTCAACAACAAACAGGAAATTACGTTGCTGAAAATTTCTTTCCTGAAAGGATACGTCTTCTACACCAAGCATAATTTGAGTCAGTACTGCATTTTTCGAATAATACACATTCAGTTCCTAATTAGACACAATTTCGCTGGAAGCTTGATTTCTCCAAATCACTGCTCTTAAATTCAGGTAGGTTTAGTGAACCCAATATTGACTTTTGTAACGGCAACTTTAATAATTTAAACTCCATCGTACGAATGTATATGTTTGGTTAATATCGGTCTAAATGACCTACAAACTGAAGTCACTCAGTTAAGATAAACAAGCTGGTATCCTACTTGCTTAGGGTAGAAGTCAGGGCCGAGTACACACCTATTTGTAGCAGTTAATTTATACTGTTTTGGTTTTTAAAATATATGAGCGTAACACATATTCAAGCTCCTTTGTCTAAAGCTGAACTTTCGGGACATTCGAAATTGTTCGTGTTCAGTCCTTGCAGAGAAAAGAGCTAAGCCCGCCGGGTCGATGGTCTTTCATGGCTACTGCTGTTCATTCTCTGTTTAAATTGCGTTCAGCCGTCGTTAGACTAGACGCTTCTCTTTATACACGAACGTCAAGTCACAAATTGTGTGAAAGACAAACCGTCAGATCGATCAAAAGAATAAAGAATTTTTAGGTTTGGTCTTATTAGATTCATCTAGTAGCTGATAGCATATTTGGAGCCCGCGCAGTAAAGCAAAAAATTGAACTGTTTAAGCTGTTTTAATATTTATGCCTTCATTTTTGTAAACTTTTATAAACTGCATCAATTAAGGAACAAGTTGTACTCGAAGCTGCTCTTTTAGAGTAATTCATCCTTCACCTCAACCAGACCTTGATTATTAATTTACCAAAGAAAGCAGTTTAGGACAAAGCAAAGTAGCTCAACTGAAGTGATGGCCGTATAGTTTTAACACTGGAAATCCGTCTCGCAAATCTCGACACTTATTGTTAACGAAATCACTTACGTTTGTTTTTAACGCTTTGCGATTCATTTCGAGGTAAACCTCCAAACTTCTTGTTTTATACTCGACCTTTTATTGGTAGTTTGGGTGGCCGATTGTTTCTGTCTGTTGTTGCGATTGGTCAGTTGGTCAAGGCACCATCTCGGTATTATGACGCAGTGAGTTTGCCCAGTCGGTTTGCACGCACGCGATCCTCCGAGGGGACTCTCACATGAACAATACGGGGATCCTCGGCGTCGAAAGCTTAGATTTAATTGCCTCCAAAGGAGACCCATCTGGGCATGACTTAGGCTTTATTTCAGCCCTAAAGGAGGGTGTCATTGGGGTTAACCGTCAGCCGTCAGAAAGTCTAGAATTTAACCGTCAACCGTCGAAATTGGAAAAATTTAACCGTCAAAGCTACCACCCCATTGAGACCCTCCTGAAAGGGGACTCTACTAGAAGACACCAAGGCTATTTTCACACGACACCGGACTTTATAGCTTTTGCGCCTGCGCGGAAACCACAGGGCTTCTGCTGGCACTGATATAAGAACGGTGATTTCGGTTCGATTTCTGTAACGGAGTGAAACTGCGTCGCCCCGATCTCTCTGAGTCGCATAAATCGTGGATAAGTGTTCACACCATACAGGATATTTGTTTGTGTATGCACGAAATGCTATATGGTATGGTATGAGCATAGCCTAAGATGGCAAACAACCCTAAGCAATACCAGTTTATAGGTAAAAACGCTGCCTTTCCGTCCCGACCACCTCAAACAAGACCAAACTCTGCAATTTCTAGCCACAATTAGTACACCTGTCAGATTCATATGGCAGACCCCCCCGCTCGGGAGATACTGAGTATTTCATTTCCCACCCAGTACCTTGAATCGTGATTTCGTTTATTTCAACGGCTAGTGCAAAAAAAAATTATCAATTTGCTCTGCTGTGCTGAAAGGTCCTAAAATTATAACTGAACTCAATGGTTCAAGAAGACGTTTTTTACTTTGCCAAGATGATGGAGAAATGAGAAGAAATCAACATATTTGAAGCAGGCAATGATGGTATCAAAAACGCCTGTACCTTTCACATATTCGTGAAGACAAACTCGTTTCATTAAAATACCTTTCCGACGATACCATCTAGCTCTGAGATTTGCCAGTCACGTATTTAGCACGCTTAAATTAGTTTTCAAACGCGTCGTCTAGCTGTTGAGAGATTTATACTGGGATTTATATTATAATAACGGTTCAAATTGTTTTCTTCGTATTCAATCTCTTGTTGGAATTGGACCAATGTACAGGCGAAAAACAACATACGGGAAATTACCAACTGATTTTCGTCCATTTATCATATTTTAACAGACTTCCACTAAAGTGATCCCTAAACAAAAGGTTTCATCCTTTACAAACTGAATATTACGAGTTTGTAATAGCAAGCCCGAAATTTCACTTGGCGAACTTCGTTCAACATTTTGGAGACGCTCCCTGTGGTCTACAAAGCATAGTACAAAGACATTATATTTATGCTCGGATAGTCAGGTTTGTATTTTATTTTTTGGAAAATGCAGTGCGATATAAACACAGACTATATATGGTGTTATCTCCAGACATTGTTGTTTGAATTTTGCGTGGCCAGAAAGATTTTATTTTCTCTTGTCACTTTATTACCTTACTAGTCATTTAGAGCGAGCCTCGAACAAAACAACGAAAATGACTAGAGCATACTGATTTTAAACCTTGAGGCATGAAAAATAGGTTTAAAATATTTTGCTACTTACGTGGTATTATATTAGCAAAACTTCATGGTACAATATTTCCTTCTTATCATCAACACCTATTTAACCCCATTTACATATTGGTTTTACAGACATTTTTTTTATCATCGTTTTCGCTCTGCCGAGTGGAGGGCACTAAAAAAGATTCTTCTTTCTTGCGTCTTGCATGTGGAAGCCATTTACTTTGCCCCTCAAAATTTCACATGAACGATTGTTTTTATATTTTAATAAATGGCATTTCCGCAGCTCTTCAGTTCTGCAGGCGTAAATGTTTGTCCTAGTTGAAGTTTTTAACACCCTTGGTGTATTCAGTGATTTTTCTCAAAGAAGAAACATTTGAGCATTTTAACATCTTTTAACGATCGGTGGCGATGAACTTCTAAACAATTAGTGGTATATTATAATTCATTTCAAAAATCTCCTTGAAACCGAAGCAAAAATATCATTAAGGTTTTAAGGAAGAAACATGATTCAACGTTTAGAACTTCAGTATCAAAATCGTCACATTTTCTAACATAAACTTATTTCAGGATGCGTCACTTTCCGTGCCAGCGTCGAAAAACCGGACGACATCGATTATTCTGATTTTCAATTTTTATTGTTTAGTAGTCTTTCAGCTTCTCATGTTTATGAAAAGAGTTAAAAATAATGCATTAGAAGGGAATAAATTCTTTGTCTTTTGTTGCCAGGCTCATTTGTCTTGACCAATAAAATGCAAGCTACCGTCACTGTGTTAAACACTCAATTTATTCAATCATAGAAGATAGCCTAGAAATCTCTTTATCGTGTGAAGAAGCGCTTTGCCTCCAGCTAAAATATACAGTAGTACGAACAACTTTAACAAGCCTGCTAAGATCAAACCATTCTCTTTGAAACATAGCAGGAAACATGCAGTACTGAAGAGATAATAGTCAGGATATCAGCCTTAATAACTAAAAATAAATTGACTAAAGAAAAACATGACTTGAAACACCTGTATACTTTCACCCCACTCTCCCACCCCCTCCTCCCCCAAATATCCAGGTTATCTGGATATGGAATGAAGCGACCTTCCCTGTTTTTGAAATTTTCTCTCGCCGATACTCAGTGTTAACAGTCTATTTGAATAATCGCATTAGGGCAATACATGCCGCCTTTTCCCCGAAAAACAGATCCCAACAAAAACCGGGCCAATACCCCGCTCGTGGAGAACTTTTTTCATAACTCATAACTGTTTTATAACTTCAAGGAATGTCTTATTTTCCGACCGTAAAGAGAACGTTTCGAGATACCTGGTGACATCAGGCTTTAAAACGGTGACGTTGAGCTTTCTGTTTTGTCGTTGGTTTTCCTTTTTTTTTTCTTCTAGTTTGTCATCATATTAAAAAACCAATCGCCTTTTGATTAAAACACTTCCTTATCAAACTGAATGTAGCTTTAAGAAGGAAATTGTTTCGACGCTAGATTGTTGCGATTTGGGGTTATTTGCATTTGCCAGATGGAAAACGAAGTTATAATTCCATTTTGATTTCAAGGAAGGAATCATCGTAAGAAGAAAATTTTACGGAATATTAATAATAAAGAGAAGCTAGTCAGAAAGAATTGACAAAAGTGCAGGTTAGTTAAACAATGACTTAATGCATATAGGTAATCTTCAATTCTCAAGCGCTCAAAATGTGATAATGCCGTCAAAACTCCCACGTTTTTTATATCAGGGCCGCACACCTTTTTTATTCCACTTGATAGAATTATACGGACCTCTGTATCATCCCAACTCATTTTGATAAATAAAAAGAAATAATTGAAGGCAGGTCACGTAGTAAACAAATAAGATTCGACCCCTTGATATCACTTTGACGTCGAGATTCTGCTTTGACGCACGAAAGTAACTCACTAGAACTAACTAGAACTTCTCAGCAAGGTTCGCACTTTTCTTATAAGCGGTTTTCTATAGAAAATAGTATCTGTAATCTCATGTTAAAATGAAATGGATTAATACGCTGCCTTTACTAAAACCCGTCATATAACCCAGTATATAATCTTATTAGATACGTTAAGGCACATAATTTATCCTTATTACGTACATCCCAGCGAAGTCTCTTTTTTTCCTCGACCCCATTAAAAGTCTTTCTTATCAAATGCGTTGGTTTATCGCTAGCATTTTCAGTTATTATTGTTTGTTTCGTGCCGACCACGAAATACGGAAAATCAAACGTGTTCTTTGGATCGTTTTTATTCTTTTTTACTGGCCAGTCGTGGTTGTAAACATAAACCGCTACATCATTAGCCGGAAAAAAAATGTTAAAAACATGTACCGACGGTGCCAAATCAACTGCGTAGCATAACGTAAATGGGACATTAAGAGCAAACAGCTTCTTTTGTATTGTTTTCTCAATTGTATTAAAGCCACAATTCAAATTCTCTCGACCTACGCATGGTCTTGTCCAATCCGTGAACCATCGCAGCTTTCTGAAATGCAAATGTAAACTCAAGCATTTTCTTCCCAAAGTGGAGCTGTTATCCCGCGTTCTTTATTCGCAAAAGAGATGATTGCAGGCATAACAATGATGATTGTGTACTCTTAAGTTCTAGGGTTATTGTCTGACGAACTAAAGAAAAGTGAAATTTTAATCAGACAGACTGCTGGATGTCCAAATTTGCATGTGTCGTATAATAGCTTTTCAGGTACTATTCCCTTTGTTTTTGGAGCTGACGACCAGATATAAACAAGGCCTTGAACTTGGGAGACTGTAAAAACAACATATTCCGCTCTTAAAAATCTTCAAACTTTTCTCTGTGTAACGGGCTCGACCTTCTGACTTCATGGGCCATAATCAAGGTATGTCTTAAAGCTGAGAAAAGACAAAAACAACCTATGTTTAGTGTACGTTGTTTTATAGGTTTTCTTTTTTACGTACACTTTAATACTACAACGAATTATTTGCAAGACACAAGTGAAACTACCGCTGCAACCGCAAATATCTTTTTTTTCAGAGTTTTATAACTGCCTGAAACTTAGTGGTGAAATTTTAAAAAGTGAACTTCTTTCCTTAATACAGGTAGTATAAAGCCTTTAGAATTAGCCTAAAGGATTATAGCATCGTAGAGCGATTTGAATGTAAACCGTGGGAATAACGTTAGAAAACAGGTCGTTGGCCAAGATTGTTTTCATTTGATTTTGAAGCTGTAAGAAAAGTAGTAAGTAATCAAATCTTGGTCTTACTTAACCGATGAAATTTTTACCAAAAATCGGTTCATAGACTGCAACTGAACTAACTAGTCGTGTAGGTATCGATCGGTATGAACCTAACAATTTAACTCATCGGTGCATGATAAACATCGAATTTCTCCTTAACTGTATTCATCGATGGGAAAACGGATAAGTTTTGACTAACACAAGCCACTACAGGCAACAAAACCGATCAACAGGAGGTACATGATCCTATCGCTAGGGTTTCTTTCGACAGACTTAAGTTCGTAAAGTTATTAGAAAACATGTAAACATTTTGTTTGATCAGCAGAGTTCGAATAGTAAATTGGTTAGTGTAAAAAGCCTTGGCTTTAAGTGTTCAGACGTCTTTCCAATAGTGGGGGTGATAGTACACGATAAACTCAGAACTCAACCAAAGTTCTGACGTACTTATCAGTTCCCTGTGTGCACCATTGCACGTATCCTACCAATACAAGAACAAAAAACAGTGAAGTAGAGTATTCCAGAAAGCTAAGTTTCTTCTATTATGTCTATGGCTGTTAATTCTGAGAGCCAAGTATACTCAGGGGCGACTCTAGAAAATTCAGAAATGGGTGGCCAGGACACTTTCCCACTTGCAAGCTATTTAGATGCTTTTTATTTTCTGAGAATTATATAAAAATAATACAAAATTTCAAACAAAAAGGGGTGACCGCGACCCCCTCGGCCAGCCCCTAAATCCGCCCTTGCTAGTGAGCAGTTCTTTCCTGTGGTACTGTTTATAACACTGAGTGCAAGGTGTTCTTGGCTATTCTTAATTCTGTGGCAAATTTCAAAACTGTGAACATGCAAAAATTTTCGCTGGTATAGAAGTATTTTTTTGGAGCGCACGTTTTAATAACTGGAACTCGAGCAGCTGTACAGAGTTTCCAAGGGAGAACAACGCCCCCTCCCCCCCCCCCCCCCCCCCCCCCCCCGGGGAAATTTTTTCCCCTTGCCCCAGTTTTTGTTCCCCCGCCCGCGGGGGGGGGGGGGGGGGTCTTTTTTGCGGGGGGGGTTGGGCGCACAGGGACGGTGTCCAACTTCTTCGTCCCTCCCTCGGCGCGACCCAAAACACCCACTCGGTTTTTTCTCTCTGTTGCCCCGCACCACCAAACGCCTTTTATTTTTGGTGAAAATTTAAACATGTGAGTAAGTAAAAAATTTTTCTGTTGTTAGGAGTGTTTTTTTGGAGGGCCCTTTTTAAAAACTGGGACCCAGGAGCGTTACAAAGTTTTCCAGGGGGGAACAACCCCCCCCCCCCCCCCCCCCCCCCGCTTCCACTCGGGAGAATTTTATACCGCTGACGTATTGTTGTAGCCCACGTCGCTGGTGGGGGGACCGGGGTACTTTTTCGGCGGCGGAGCTTCGCTAGCAGTGACTTGATCCTAATGTTCTCTCAGCTCCGCGGCCCAAACGAAAGCACTCGCTCGATTCTTTGCAGTACTGGCCCGCTAATCCCAACAGCTAGGCAGGCTGGTATTAATGTAAATAAAAATAATTCAAAATGAATGTTGCTCCGCAAGTTTGTCAGCGGAACAACCCGCAAAAACCAAACCGACGGCTTAATTTTTAATGACCAGGTTTTTAAACACCTCAATTGTCATAAACAGTCCGAGTGTTTTCCAAAAGAGATAACGGCTATATATTTACGACAATGTATAACAACGAGGAAAAATCTCAAAAATAAAGAACGAAATGTCCTAGGGAAGGTTCGTAGAATGAACTTAGTAGGACGATATTGCCTCCATTCCATGCAATAAACACCAGCTCACTGAAAGTTGGAAGTGATTGCCCTAAACATCTATTGTCTGAAAGGAACGTTTTGACAGGTAACGTGGAAAACGTAAGTATAAACAATTGACTGTGGAAGCTCTTTCGTTTAGTCGTTTCCCTGTAACTACATTTAGTAGATCGAAGGAAGTTTTGGTTCGTACCGAAATTTGAGGTCATCTAACCAGTTCTCTGAAAATTCTTTAAACAATTTCATAACTAAGGTTAAAAAACGGCTCTAAGTTGGTACAGTTTTCCTAACAAATTCATTTCGAAAAATGATCTCTACTTTACAGCTGTGTATTTAAGTCACTTTTCATTGTATACAATCCTTGACCATTCACTTACGTCATTTTCTACGAGTATATAAGATGTCAAACAACTGCTTCTCATCACTCACTTTTGTAGACTTGTAAAATCGATTTAATTTTGAAAAAAAAATGAAAATATTTGAAACCCAGATAACATGCAAACGGTTTTCCTTTCAAAGTAAATAAATCAAAGGAACTAGTTTAAAAGCAGCGAGCATAACGTAAAGATAACTGCTTTTCAATAGTTGAAACCTCAACTCATGATGAATTAGACATGCCCAAGGACTTATCAGTGCTAAACAAAACTCTTGGGCTCCAGCAGTTATCCGAAAATACAGTACCACAGTTTCCCTTTTGTGTTTGTCAACGTTTCTGCTCTCAATTTTTACTTCTTAACGTCATCAGTTATCGTATCATACAACGCCAAGAGAGAGGGGAAAAAAATTTCTCTTCTTTGAAATTCTCAGAATTAAGTTCTGGTTTTCAAGACCCGATAAATTGATTTTTGCAAGCCTTATTCCTTAATAAACAGGACGAAGTAAGTGACTATAGTTTCGCTAGCTTGCTTACTTTAGATTAAATATAAAGGAGAGGTGGAAATTGATGAGTGTTGTACTGATGTATGCACCTATTAATAGTTATACTTAAAGTATCTTAAAATGATGATGACTTTTGTGGTTTCGTTTTCTGGAAAACTAATTTAAAACATAGATTACGTCTTTGACAAGACGTAATGAGATGTTATAAGCCGTATTAGATAACTACTATGACTGTCTCCTGCGACTGCGCAATGGACTAACATCAGGGCGTCAATGGGGTGGTGGAGTGGTAACTTTGACGGTTGGCGGTTACATTTTAGAGCTTTTGACGGTTGACGGTTATTTAATAACTAAAAATTTAGTTCAAGGAATTAACTTAATATTAATTTCAGTATAATTAATATTAACTTTTGTGTCTTAGAGGTTGTCTTGGCCTTTCGCTTTTAAAATTCTAAATATTTTCAGATATAAGCAGGTTGTAAGGTCTTGTAATGTCTAAAGAGTGTGTTTCTGAGAACATGGAAACTAAGTTTTTCAGTTAAGAGATTCTTCAGAAGGCTTGGAGTCCGTGAAGATCAGCTAAAATAGTGAAAATTAAGATACCTTAAAGCCTTTTGACGGTTAATACTAACCTGTGACGTTTGACGGTAAAATATAACCTTTTTTGTCGACTGACAGTTAAATTTTAGGCCGTTTGACGGCTGACGGTTAACCCCATTGAGACCCTCTAACATGAAAACATAGGCTGACATGACTGACTACTAGTTAGGAGGCAGTGCATAACTCCCATTGTTATATAGCTGGAAATTTCTTCTCACAGCGAGCGCGGGGGCGGGGGGTACTTCCTTATAAGAGTCTAATGGGTATGTGCCGCTGGTTACTTCGAGGTTACATGACATCTAACAATGAAACTGTTTCCCGCCAAAATCTCTGAGAGGGCAAAATTGCAAAAAATGACGTCCGAGGGTAACAATGCAATGTTACCCGCGAATGTTGACTGATGACCGCCGTTACAGCGAGGTTTAATGAATTTTCAGCTTCAAAATTTCCAGCTATATAACAAATCACTTAAAGACTGGTCTCTCGGGAAACAGTAACCTCGTGACGTGACCAGTCATTAAGTGTTTATTGTTTCGACCCAAAACCTATGAAATTGTTCTGTTTCTTTTATGATTAAACATCGGCTTGTGGGCGACCTTTCTTTGACATATTACTGAATCCGATTCTAAGATCGTTTTCAACTGATAAATTTTCCGCAGTGAACTCATACATCACATCCTTTATTGTGGCAAGGAGTTTGGACGTCATACAAGCGCCAGTACTGTTTTCATGGTGCAACTGCCCTTAGGGGCTTTCCCATTTAGAGAGCATATCTCTGAATCGGCTAGTCTTTTATCGCCCTGTGTAATTAAGTAGGAACTAACAGCTTTAAAATCTTGACAATTATGATGTGTGATCAGTGACAGATAGAGCCATAAAATTGTCTTGAAGAGTTTAAAATGGATTAATAGCCATGATGTTTGCGACATTCGTAAATAAAAAAAGTACGCTAGAAGTTTCTAAGTCTATTTACTAATGGCTTATATGAGTAAATGACTGTTAGTTATGGCAGAAGGCCGGAGCCACTGAATTCAGTCATTTGTACGACGCCGCCGAAACTAAATTTTATCGATTAAAAAGGAAAACATTGTCAAACAACGAGTATCTTGATAGTCAGCTAGTTTTTCCTCTATAATAAATAGCAAGGGCCAACATACAAAAGAAAGGTGCCGGTTCCTGATGGATCTAGTCAGCAAAATGTTTTGTAAGCAAACATGTATTTTAAAACAGCAAGCCTGACTGTACAGCTACGAAATTAAAGAAATATAATCTCATAGCTGTACAGTCAACCTTCCTTTTCCACTCGGCTTTTTTCAACACCCGTTTTGGCTTTCAATTTTATGCAATTCTCAATTTTCGGAAATTAAATGGGTGCTCCCGGCGCCCTACTAGTAGCTTTCCTGCTCGGTAGCTTGATTTATTAAAATGATCATCCTCAATTTCCAAACTTAAAACAACATGACCACAGGAAAGTACTCTGAGCTCAGTAGCCGGTATTGGTTTCAATGATAATTTGTTTTTAAGTCTCACGCCTTCTAATATACACCCACTGGGGACTAGAACATTCTATGAACCGTCGTACAACGTTTAATATTCACATATCAAACTTCTTATCCTCAAAGCCTATCACCACTCTAAAAGAACTATTATAATATAGCTGAAAACTCATTCATAACAATGGGAAACAGAACCTGATTTTAAAATTATTTATTATTATATGTCTCTTTATCTTTATTCATCGCATTCAGTTTACTTTAATAGCGATTTTTAATCTGATACTGCGTTTATCAATCTCTCTGGCAGTCGTTTTGGAGAAGGTTCTTTGTGAAATCAAAATTGAAGAAAAAGTGTAAAATATCTGATTAAATTTGAAATCATCGCAAGATTTTATTCCCTCACTATAAGTCTATCTCCACTATCCGTCTTTCTTCGTAACAAACCGCAAAAATCGTTTGACATGTAAATATTTTCGAAAGGCCTAGGGGTTATAGCCTCGACTGCACGCTAGTTCCAGCAGTTCGCTTGGCGAATATGACTTGGATTTATCTTTAAAAGCAATTACTTAAAGGTAAATAAATCGAGTTTAAAACCATTGCAGACTAAATATTGATATTCTCTCTTAATTATTTTATTACAATGAGCCGAATTAACAAAGAGTGTATTTATAGAGAGAGGAATGAAGAGTTTTATCCACAAGACAAAGATTTATTGTGATAAATACGTCAGATTATTGTCTGAATTTGTTCTTCTTCCTGGTGTTTGATTCTCCTTTTATGGTCATGTAAAACTGGCTTTTATGTTCCTTTCAAATTGGACACTTTGGTTCAGTCCAAATTTTGGGGACTATTTTCCCTACCCTGTTACATGTATGCAATTCAATCGATTATTAATAGTTCCATTTTTGGAATGTAAAAGAATAAAATGGAAGCTTATTACAAAAGTAACTCAGCAAAAATTTTCAAGCCTTTTAAAACGTTTACCTTTTTAATATATATTTTTAAACAAAAATACCTTCCTCATGAAAAATGTACACCTATCATTAAACAGTTTATTTTCCACAAATCACGTTTGCCTTTTTGCTATAAACACCACTGTTGCGGCGTCATTAGCCACGTTAGTTCAACACAATAAAACACAAAACGGTTGACAGCTAGAGCAATTAAGTTCCTATTTGCATATGTAAAATGCGAAATATTTTAGATATCAAGATAAAAAAAACTCACCTGCCTAACAAATGCTTTTATTGCATAAGGTTGTGTGTGTGGAGGGAAGTAAATTGTTGTGTACGCCGGGTGTTGATTTTCTACGGTAATCTGGGGGCCTTTGGAACAGTAAGTATGTCTTAATACCAAGTTAACTGATTATAAACAGGTGCTTTCTTATCAAGCAAACCTTCCAAGAAACAAGCCCAGAACATACACTTTTCACACCTTTTGAATAACTTGAAGAAATAACGAGATCAATAATCGTTGAGAATCATAGACTCCGTACTTAATTTAACGCCTTTATAATAACACTGACCTGTGTACGCTTCGCTACTTAACATACGAAACTTGTACGAAATGAAAGTAAGATCATACTACAGTTCATGACAGCTATACTCAAAAAGGCAAATTCTTGAATTAAATGAAAGATTATAGTGAGATCAGTTTTACTGTCTAAAATGGTCCTAACCTACTGAGTCGTTGTTCAACTGCGTGCCGTATAGTGCGTTCTGATCTCACCCTTACGGTCTGCGAATTTCGGAGCAGTAACTCAGGGCTATCCTCAACACTATTTTACGAAATCAAATTTTGAAACTATCGGTGCAAACGTTTACCAAAGTGATCAATTTAATTAATTCAATGTAATTTTTCGTTAGCGACCTGGCTTTTCAGCCAATGACAGAGCTGCGAGTTAAGCAGGGACCTAATGCAACTCGACGGCAACAAGAACGTAAAAAGCGATATAGGTGGAAAAAGTGTGGTGCTCGTATTGTAGCACACTTTTTAGTACTTCTCTTTGCCGCCTTTGCACACCACTATACGAGGTGAAATTGTCCAGTTCCTAGTTTTATCGAGAACGCGAACAAACGACGGCGAATTTCTCTTTAGTTTATCTCGATCTTTTTGAACGTCGACGTTAGTCTCGGCTCTCCAAGTCAATGAAGCTCAACCAGTCAAGACTCTGTGTCAGCAAACATGAACTGTCTATGTTTATCATCACAAAAGAGAAAGTAGATACCCTGGATGCGCTTTCCAAACAAGTTGGCGCAGCATTCGAGATCAAAAGAAATGCAACAATGTTGTGAGTTGAAACTATTGGTTCTCACTACACATGTCTCATCATCTCCAAAAAGTGAAACATGATGTTGTAACTGTTTAAATGTTCACGAGTTTTTGCCAAATCAATAATTTTTATCAAGAAATTACATTGTTACACTTTCTGTTTCCAAGCACTGTTGAACATAGATAAATGGCCACCATGTTTCCTTTTCCCAGCAAGCTACCAGGCTGAAACACTCTTTAAATGTCAAGAAAATGGCCTCTTTAGTTTCTATCTCTAACGCTTTTCATGCTTTCACCCTCAATCAGGATAGCGCCAATACTATACTACTTCCGAGATTTACCTCGAAACCGATTTTATATGCCACGAAACACGCAAACAAGCTCATGAAATTTCACCTGATGACTTGATTCCGGGCGTTCAGATGATGGGGTGACGCACGGTGCCGAGAAGACTATTCCACGTAGCTCTCCTCTATCTGAGTACAGGCCACATTGAATAAATAGGCGTTCCTTCCTTTATGAACCCTCCATGGGATTGTAAAACCATTAAAATGTTTGAACCTAACGTATAAATCATGAGAATTGTAACGAGATGTTTTTAATACAAACTGGTGGCTGGTATTATTTGCTCCGGAATTTGTGCTTCGTGTGTGCCAAGGGATTGAAAGGGCGCGGTCCCCTGAGGTTATAGCCGAGGAAATAAGCTTGGGTGGCAGAAAAGAGAGCTTAATTTAGTAGATGTGTCACGAAATTCGTCGAAATTCAAACAGTCCAAACCGCCCTAAAACTGGGTTTAACACAAAAATAACTGGTCCAAACATGAAGAAAAGGTATGAAAAGCACAGCAAATAAAAAAGAAGGCACAGATGGCCATCTTGAAAAAAAATTAAACGGATTGAAATCACTGCCGGGTCACGAGCACTTTCAGTTTGATATCTTTTTAAAAAGCTGAAAAGTGCCATCATCGCATCAACTAAATTCCAAAAATAATGGTCCAGTTTTGATCATGAAGACTCTATTCAGCCGTTGAAACTGTTTCCTGTCGCTGTTGCTACGGATGGCAAGGATGGACCTGGATTGAAACTGTTTTAATGGTTTGCCTGCAAAAATTATCATCAGGACTTAAGCAAAGAATTGACCTGAAATAGCAATATCCTCGGTCGACGTTCTCAAATAATTTCAAAAACAGTTTTTAACACCAGTCTGTCCTTAGGGTGCTAATGTTATATAATTTTGAACAGGAGCAGTCCTGGAGAGATTATAGAGAAAGCTTGCTTTTGCATGCCGCCAAGCGCTACAGGTCGTCGCTGAAGTACGAGGGAAGTGCGTGGTGGTATACACGCGCGGAATATTCTAGGACCGGTCAAACACACGTACTTCATGAAATCGATTGTATGTGTGTGGCATAACGTTCCTGTCTCGGGTCTCTATCGTGACTTCACCGGAAAGACAGACAAACAAACAAACAAAACAGTGAAAAAATGAAAAACAAATACTGATAATATTTTCGACTTCTTTAAAACACTGGACGATATGTTTGGGCAGTAGTTTTTCCTACTTAGTCAATATCACCTTGGTGCGAAATTAATATCCTCCTTTGCTGAGGCTCCAGTGTCAAATTGACGGGAATAGTATCTCATCCTGATTAAACTGCCTTCGAGAGCAACATCCCGTCATGGCAGGAGCATCAATCAATGTCATTGAGTAAACAACTGGTTTCAGCTCCGGCTCCGGCTCCCGGCTAAGTTTCTGTATTCTTCCGATCTTACCTTAATAGCGATCGTCATTTCCTCTGTGACGGATGCCGTAAAACTACTTTCTTATAAACAACTCTCACTGCCAAGAGTTTGCCAATTGGTGCAACAACTCATTAAAAACCACAATAAGCCTTTTTGACCTTGCGGTAAAGGTAAGGTATCTGAGCAACGGAAAGAACCAAGCTGGTAGGCTGGGTTCAAGTGATTATATGCAGGAAATAACATGACGAAAGCGAATGCTGTCACCTACGAAGGCTGAATAACGGGGTGAAACGCCAGTTTCTGCATGAAATAAGAATTAAACGAATAAACTCTTCCGCTGCCGTAAGCATTTAACATTCCAAAATCATAAAATAGCAAAGTTACACGGATTGGTTTCATTAACAGATTCCAGGGCTAGTGCCACTTAGAGTACCATTCACACACACATTACCGGCCGAATAACTACCTCTCTAATGCAATCTGAAACCGAGCTAAAAACAGTCGTAATTTTTTCTTATGCAAGACCAAAAGACTGCTGCCTGCACTCTGTACCCAGGGGTGATCCCTATAATGGCCTATATGGGGGGGGGGGGGGGGGCCCCCCTCCAAAGCCGACGCCCTTTTTTGCCGCCGGGGGAAAAAAAAAGAGGGAAAATATTTTATTTATTAAAGTGAGAAAGGGCTGTTTGTTAACGCCCCGGTCTTTTTCCCCAAACAAAGGCAAGGTTTTCCCTTCCCCTTTCTAATCCAAAATATAAAAAATCTACACTTTTTTTTTATGCCCCAGAACCTAAAAAGGGATCGTGGCTTTAATGTGAGGGCCCCCCCCCCCCCCCATATAGGCCATTATAGGGATCACCCCTGGGTACAGAGTGCAGGCAGCAGTCTTTTGGTCTTGCATAAGTCCTACACATCGAACACACACCCACCACAACACCACCCCAAACAAAACCCACACTCTCAAGAAAAAAAACACAAACAAAAAAAAACTTGTTTTTTTTTTTGACAAACAAAAACAGCCCCGGCCCCCCCCCCCTCGCGGGGGGGGGGTGCCCTATAGCGTCGTGGGGGGGGGGGGGGGGGGGGGGGCTCTCCTCGAAAGGCCAGGTACCATTTTCAGGCTCAGGCGCATAAAAAAAGGGTAGAGATTTTATTAGTTGAAGTATACGAAGGGGAAGGGAAATCTTTCCTTTTGTCTGGAAAAAAGGCCCGGAAGGTCTTACAGATTCATTTCATGGCTTTGAAAAAGTCGAAAAAACGTTCTGGCTTCGTGATTTATTCATATTTTTTTTCAGACAGAGCATATTGAAAATTAAGGGATACAAAGTTCTTAACTTTCTAGGTGTGTGAAAAGGGTACCATTTGTCGATGGAAGGTATACGACAGGGGTACCTTTTTTGTCAAATATGTTTGGACCCAGTCAGTCCCCAACCACCCCCGCGCCAAAAGGCGGCTGCATCAAATCAACCTGTTTTCTTTTTCGTACATTGAACATGTGCTTTAGGAAGCGAAATCTTGTGATCCTAAAAACAACGATTACTTGGCAATTTTTGGGTGAATATGCCATTTCAGGTCACAGATGTGTGATGTCACGATTTTAATCTTGACATCAAAACGCCGTAATTTAAAAATTACGGCGTTTTGATCCACCTTCAAAATTTTAAAGTAGCAAAGGCTAATAAACTTCACTGCGTGGTGTCTCTTTAAGGTCCACATTTTTAATCTTTTGTCAGCTTAGCACCATGAGCACAGCGGGATTTGCTTTTTCTGTCGCTCTAGACATCAAACAAGTGTTTTATCAAAGTACATTGTCTCGATCACTTCTAATTTCTCGCCCCAGTAGCTTCTCACCTCTGGTTGGCTGTGTGAAAAAAAACAACAACGCACCAGGATCACTTTGACGTTTATAAGGTGAAAAACAAAAACAACAGGTTTAGACAAGCGATTGAAAGGACATGGCTGCCGTATAAATGCTGGGTCGCTAGCGAGAAGATATAACGAAAAAAACGCAATCTTCTTGTTTGTTTTTCGCATAACACCCACGCGCTTTGTGAACATTTCCGGATTTTTTCTTTTTTAAATGCCTTGACCTTTAAAAAAATAAAGCAGCGACTTCATTGACAGCGGAGGAAATAAAGGCCTAAAGGTGACGTAGATGTGACAATTGAGTGATTTGTTGTAAGAATTTTTATTGTATCAAACGATGACAACAAGGTTCAGTTGTTTACAACGCCTGTCAAATAATCTACAAGGTTTTCACCATAAAACTTCGTGCGGCGAATGTTGGACAAGTATTAATTGAAGGTTTGTTTACTTTAGTTGGGTATATGACTCATGTTATTTTCTCCAGTGACCCTAAAATGTGGCCCAATTAAGTATTTTAGACGGTTATCAGTTCAGATTGCATCTGACTAAGTGTTTTCCATTAAACAAAAACAAAACAACTGGCCAACTGTCGTGGCCTTAGTCTGTTTCGTCATTGTAACGTGTTGTTATTATTTGGCTTCCTCTTAAAATACACCAATCAGTGTTTTAAAAAAACTTGACGAGACTTAATGCTAACTGTAGTAAAACTCACGTCAAAGTCTCAGGACATTTGTTTTTCTTTCAATGCAGGCTAGATGTTCCCAGCCCGCCATGCCAAACAACAGAACAGCAAATGCAGTGAGGCCTGGTCTGATCGTAGAATCTCTCTTCTTCGCTTTACTAAGTCTTGTCATTTTGGCTGGAAATACTCTGGTTTGTACGGCGATTTACAGAAACCGAAAACTGAGGACTAAAACAAACTACTATTTGGTTTCTCTGGCTATTGCCGATATCCTGGTGGGAGTATTTTCAGTACCTTACTGGGTCTATTTTAGATTAGGTAAGTAACACCAATTATTTAACGCATGGTAGCAAGTAAAAGTAGAGAAAACAGTGGCCTTACTTATTTTTTATAGACAAATCTGGCAGCTATTCGGGTTTGTTAAACGGTCTGTCCAAATATAATAAAGAATGCTACAGATCGGCGATCAGTCTTATCACACGTGATATTTTCTTTGAGTTGATCCCGACTCGAAGACAGGGGCGATAAACACATTACGAAATCAGTTAGATAGAATTACTAGCGTTAACAACTTCATGTGCTTTCTTTACGCGTTGTAAAAATAACCGGCTTTGGTTGCAAATCTACATCATAAACTTCATATACAGATCTTAATGATGCTCGATGGCCGGGCTCACCAGACCAGCGAAAAATCTCTCATAATTAACTTAACAGTACCGAAAAGATGCTTCTATTTCGTATAAAATTCGGAAAATTGCACCAATTTTCAGACTTGAAAATCTGCTTGTCTTCCCATTTGCTAGACTTTGGTGTTGTCAATATATCACTGATAAATACACGTAGCAATATTAAACAGCAGGGTTCAGTGTAATGCCAACAACAAAATCCCGTTCACGTGCAGAATGCATACATATAGGATATCTCCCTTTTCGCGTGACTTTTTGCTACGTTAAGATCAATTAATCCCTGATCGCGTGACTGGCTTCGTCAAGAAATTTGTAACCAGAACATTGAAGTCTTTATATCGAGATTTGCAAATACCCCAAGTTTTCTGCTTAATATAAAACAAAGAATGAGAACTTGTTTGTCCAAAGTATGGATCTCCCATCGCGCGGATCCTCAGTTCTAAAGTCTTGTTGTGATTAAGTGTTTTAGTTCAAGTCAAGGCAATTGAAAATAATACTTTGTTGGTCCATAAAGAGATGATTGAAGCGAAAGAAAGTTTCCAAAAATTTGAGTAAAGATTTGCCAAAGCGGGAAGCGGACCAGTCTTTCCGTTTCGCCTTGAGCACTGATCCTGTCTCGGAAAAATGTTTTTTCGGCTTCCCACAGGAAAGAAGGCGTTAATTACCTCTACAAACCTTTGACAATACTTAAATTTTCAATTCTGGAAAGTTATTTTTCCAAGAAAAAGTGTCACTTTAAGGGGAAGGATTAAGTTTGAAAAAAAAATTATTACTGATTTAATTTTGGACGAGTGTAGTCATTGAATCACGAGAATCAATTTGAATACCACGGAGTATAAACAAGTCAGTATGAAAATCAATCTGATTACACAACAACATGTCACCATTGATATATTGAGAAAATGAACTTTTCGTCCGATTTGAAAAAGTAAATCACTGTTTAGCAGTGATTAGCATGGCCTTGTAAACTTTTTCAGAATACTCAATATACTGATTTCTCAGTATATTCTATTCAAAATGTCCCAGTAATTGAAAAGCTCGCCACCGGCACAATGTTAAACAGAGAGCAGATGTTATATTTAAAGGACTCAATTGTTGCTTAGTACCAGCAAACTGAGCGATTTTTCAGTTTTCCGAAATAAGCTTTCAGATACGCAGAAAACGCGACCTACAGGACGCTTCTAAGCACGTCAACTGTGTTCCAGAAAAAAAAAATAAAGCCGGAGAAAATGTCTTTTGTTACGCCATCAGTGTCTCCGTAAAGTTTACACTCAATGACGAAGCCCATTCGCGAAAAATTCAAATAAATCTCTCTATTGATTTAACTCAGTGATGACACTGGCACCTATTACAACAAAACAAGTCAAATGTAAAAAAAACGGCCTTCCTTGTAACTTCGAAAATGGATACAACAACTGAAGAAATCGAGTAGGGATCATCGCCATCGCAGTAGTCTACTAACGGGCCAAGCGATTGATGAAAACGCCCGTAATGCGCGAGCGACTTTCTTACTTTTTCGCACAATCCTTGTAACAGAGCCTGTCCGCCCAATACTTTTTCCTTTATTGTCTTGTTTTCGATTTAAGGTTTTTTTTTTAATTGAGAGGAAAGAGGAGAAAAAAGGAAAGTATACCACGACTTTGTCTGCGAGTCCACGGGCGCGTGATTTTTTCGAAACCGCAAACGCAAATTTTACTGCGTAAAGAAAATAGAGGCAATGTATAAAAGGTCGCACGTAAACGTAGGACTTGAGCGGGGTTCAACTTTTACGTTTACGTGAGACGTTACAGCCTCTATTTTATTCACGCGCGTAAAATTTACTTGCGTACGCACCTGAAAATTACTCGACAGTGGAACTCCACCCTTACTGGCATTCATCACATTTTCGGGGTCCAATTCACTTCACATTGTGTATTTCCAGCCTTTTAAAAAGCTCATTAAGGAAAAGCTAGTAATGTAATAAGAGCGAGGAATATGGAGAGATTTCTTTCGTCAGTATTAACGCGTAATTTTGCGCTACATGGGAACTTGAATTACAAAAGGGCCTTGAAAGCGGTGGTTTTTCTAAGATGTAGAACAACGATCATAGTGTTTACTTGTAGCCCTACAAATTAAGAACTGTCCTATATAGCCTGCTTGCATTTCCTCAGGATTGTTGCGCACGGGGCAAGCATGACACGTGCACGTGCGAGCGCAGGTCCTAATTAGTAATACAGGAGGGCGGAAGATTCCAGAAGGAGGAACAACCTTACGTCGGGTTTACATGCAGAAATTTCGGCCCGTGTGGTTACAAGAAGAGAAGGAATTAAAAATGGCGGGCGACAGTAACAAAAATGCAATTTGGGCCCTTCTGGTCTTTTTAAGTATCCACATTAGCGAGGTTGACGTTCTATGAGAATCTGTTGATTGGGCAAGAAACGAGTGTTCGTTGGCCGCATTAACGGCTGTCCGTATTAAGCGGGTTGAATTTAGAGAAAATGGTATGAGCTTTTCCCAGGAACAAAGAAAACTGTCTTTAATAACGAGTTGTCCGTATTAAGCTGCTATCCTTAAAGCGGTGTTCGACTGTACCTTTCAGCAGAATTAAGAAGCTTGTCAGTGCTAACGCCAAACGAAACTTTTGGCCTTTATCAGTTGCCGTGGTTACCCTGACTCAACGACCCGCCGCCATTTTCCCCTGGTTTGTCCCTAGTACTCGGATAGCGAAAGCAGTTTACACGGCGCACAAACCTTCCTACCTCTCAGCATCGAATATCCTAGTAATAAGAAGATCATAGCTCTAGGGACAAGTACAACCCTAGGTCTTTGCATGTAAACTGAACGCAGGAAACATATGGCGCTAGGATGATCCGCCTTCTACGATCTTCCTGGTGCTAGGATCTTCCTCCCTCCACGTAAACAACCCCTAAATATGAGGCAGATTTTCAACCAGTCAGAGGCACTACCCAGATATGAGTTTCTGGGCTCGTTCCTCAGACGTCGTTGAGCGGGGAAAACAGCTAAAACAATCGCGTCGTAAAATATTGGCTGTTTTCTCGGGCCAGCTGCGTGCTGCGAGGGAGACTAGCTGCGTAGTAGACAAACTGGAAAGAGGCAGCTTGCTTGCTATTTGCAGCTAGAATCTGAACAGCCCTTCTCGCCGCGGCCAGTAGTATAAATGTTAATGTCAGGCGTTTATCTGCTGCACTGTAAGTTGTGATTCTGTGTTTGAGTGGGGTTCAAGTGAAGAGTTTGATGAAGCTGAACGCCATGTATGTTATAGTTAGCTTTTAGCTGTCGTGATCACCAACATTGCGTTTTAAACAACTTGACCCTGGCCTTTCCACCTAGGAAAGTGTACTTTTTAAAGCAACTTCACCCTCGGGCCTTCCCACCAGTTGTTGTTCAGTCTTGCGGCTTCCGCTATGAGAGGCTTTTAATATCAAGTGGTGTATATGAATGGTTTACAAGTGTGCTCAGTTGCCTTCCAAAGCATTTTGATAAAATCAAATTAACTGCTTAGACTATAAGGATTGACAAATTCAATGATTCAGCGAAGTAATTGAATTTGTGGTGAACTATGAATCCAGAGTCAACAACTTTTCTTTAATCTTGTGTTTCAATCGCCTTTCAAAGGCGGATGTTTTAGTAAGAAAGGGAAGGGTTACTTAAGGATGTAAAGGTCGATAAAGATCATCTTTCTTAGTAAAAAAAAACAAGCGGCCATTTGATAAATAATTTGGTTAGGACGGATGTTGAGTTAGTAAATTTGGCATACGAATTTAGCTAGGAAGTTAATTTTACATGAGCTATTTCTTTTCAAGTTGGCCCTAATCGTAAACAGCCTAAACGCACTATCAATGATTCGTTAGTCTACCATTTCACGTTGCAGATCACAATTATATCATGACCTGAAAACAGGCGTTCAGGTCTTCCAAGTGAAAAAAACCGTGCTTTTCTACAAGGAAAGACCTTAGGTATTACTTTCAACCTACGTTTACCTATATCTACAAGATAGATGCGACTTCTAAAACTGTTTCGTCTACCAGTCTCATTGATTAAGATCATAGTCATCTCAAAGTAAATCCAGCGGCTTTGATGGTCAACGGCAGGAGCTTGCACATAAACTACTTAGACAAAACTTGTTATCAAGTGGCCTACTATCTAATATTAGGGACCTTTAGATTAGATTGCAGGTATGAGGTAATAAAACCATTTTTGGCATCTTACTCGGATGAACAGATACAAATCATAAATATTTCCATGTGTTCCAGTAGCAACAATTAGTCGTCTGTCCTCTTTGAAACGAGTAGGAGCGAGTACGAGTTTTCGAAACAATGCAAGTTCAGGCGCCTTAGGTAATATAAATGTCACCGACAGCAATCTTGCCCTAAAATTTCTTTAATCGTTATGTGGTGGACAGCAACTGAGTAAGGGATGAGAGTGTCGTGGAAATAACGTCTTTGAAATTTTAAATCCGTCAGTGACTTGCAAACAAAAGGTCGCTATTCTCTGTTGCGAAGGAGACTTTCTAAGGCCTATTGCAAACAATGTGCTATTTAATATTGTCATGCCTAACTCAATTCATAAATTATAAATATACATTAGAATACATTTAGAAGCTCACTAAACCGCCTTTAATTTTTAAGTTCCGTTTTCTGCAACAGCTTATTTATTCGACTGAGTTAAATTCAAAGCCTAAAAACCAACTCTTGCTACAGTCGCCCTATAGTCGTGCAGAAGTTGAGCAGCTTAGAAGACTTAGAACGGCAGTAACACGACGGGCCACGAGAGAGGCCACGAATTCATCAGTGTTTTCACTACAGTCAAGTGTCACCCACTATAAATAAATCCTTTACTACTCTACTACTACTACTACTACTACTACGACGACGACGACGACGACGTTTGAAACAGGCCTAACTCGTTCCCGGCACCTTCTACAACTTCTTTCACCCGTCCTCTAGAATGTGTACACCTGCCTCGTCGTCAGTCGCCCGCCGGCTATCGTCTATTTGGGTGTCGATGTCCCGTTCTGAGTTCACTCTAACCTCTTACGCTTGGAAAAGCCTGTGTAGGGGGCAGACAGGACATAGCTAGTAACGAAAACTGTTCAGGGCGTAAAGAATCCTCTTTCTGTATCTCGCAATTTGTGTGATTCGAGCAGGTAGTTTTTCTGTTAGCACTAAGCGTCAAACAAAAATAATAATCAAGTAAGCGGGTAAAGTGACTTTATTTTAAGAGGGGGATACACAACAGTGACAGCAGTTACTGATAAACTTGTGGTCGTTTCCATAAGGGACGGACTATTAGAACAGTTAGGGGAAGGGTGGGGAATTTTCGAGGCGCATGAATTTTTTTAGGCCTTTGTATGAATATTTTTTAAGGGTCATTTGGCGTGCATGACTTTTTTCTTTTAATTTTCCCTTACGCGAATATTTTTTTCCTTCGCCCCCCCCCCCCCACCCCACCCATAAGCTTTCTACTAATCTGTCTCTAAGCTTAGGACACTCACTTCCCCTACAGAGGTAGAGTGAGGTAGAGTGCAAAGATGGAATTCATGATTACTAATGAATTTCTGTCTGTCTTTTTTTTTAATGAACAGTCAATCCTGATAACACTGGCACAGATACAACGGCCTACAAAGTTTACCTTGTTTACGACATTTTGTGCGGGACGGCGTCCGTCATTAATCTGGTCATGATCAGCCTAGAACGTTGTATTTCTGTCACACAACCCGCGATACACCGGAACTTGTCACGCACCACCATTGTCATAACTATCGTGGGTGCGTGGATATATGCCCTCGTGGTCGCATGCGTCAGTCAAGTGAATGGATCTTCTCTTAAATGGTATCCACCGTTCGTCAGTACTGCTAGCTTTTTCTTTCCTTTGTTCATCATACTAATCGCTTACTCATTAATTTACAAAGTGGCTCAAACAAGAGAACGCGCGAGACGATCGCGATCTCTCGCGCGAGAAATCCGCATTGCAGTGACTTTGGCAGTGGTGATAGGAGCCTTTGTAGTTGCATGGTTGCCTTTCTTTGTCACGTTGTTGGTACTTTATACTTGCAAGACATGTAAAATAAACTTCTCCGTTATCGTCCCCTTCACCAAGTGGATGCATTACAGCGGTTCAATGGTTAACCCGGTCATATACACGCATCGAAATAGAGATTTTAGGCAAGCTTTCACTAAAATCGTGCTTTCTTGCGGAAAAAAGCACATAAATAACTTGTCTCAACCTTCCAAAGCTGGTGTAGTGGTGACTGGAAATTTTGCGTCAATCGTCAAGGAAAGCTCGTTGTCAGGAAGTGATGACAACAACGTTACGCTCGCGCGCACCAAACGATCAAGTAGCTACACGCTTGCGCAGGAAACAAACGGTCAAGTGATTCTTACTGGCTACCTCAACAACGAAACCATAGCTTAAAATGGCTATAAATTTTCATGACCCGTTCAGAAAATGAGAGCGTTGTGGAAACAGGAACTTCATAGTAGCCCGCAGAACACGCGCTATTTTTTTCGCGTTTTTCAGGCAAGCGTCTTCCTCCGTCGCGCGTGTCTCGCGCTCCACTTCCGCTTCATGCTCGCGAAAACGCTACAAATAGCGCCTTTTCTGCGGGCATAGAACTTCACGGGACAACAGCTGCTACTGTAGAAGTGAGACGCCTTCCAAAAACGAGGGAGAAAAAACCTTGCTTATTGGGAGCAATGATAACCTGAGTACCAGAAATAGGCTCCTGAACAAACGCATACAAAGGACCATGTGCGGTCTATAACTGTGTGGTAGTACCCAGGAAATTTTTTAAAAAGCAATGACCGAACATTCACACTCGTTTTGAAAGTTTGGATCCAGATTAGGACTGGGAACAAAACTAAGCGGCGCGTAAATTCAAACATTCCTTTTTGATAGCCCATGAACGATATATTAAAATTCTAACATGACTCCGAGTCTCTCTGGTCACATATTTATGATTGGTTTGGTTTTGTGCTGAAGTCTCTTCTGGGAATTGTTCTGGAGTCGTGAAAAATTTGTAATTTTGTCCATAAAGCTTGGGAGTCATGTTCGAGTTTTGATGTATCAAACGTGCGCAATACTCTTGAACACCAATGACGTAATTGTACGGGATTTAATTAGTTACAGTCTCGATTTGAAGTAAAATATTAGTATAAAATTCACAAATATCGGCAAGAAGATGATTATTTCGCAGGTTTCAGCCTGCCAGCCGAGAGGTGCCCTTTCCACAGCGCAAAACTTTCGAGAAAGTACCGGGATCAGGAGATAAGCAACGCTGGTTTTCGCGCAAATATATTGTCTGAAATCAAGACTCGCACGGTGAGAACCTGAATTATCATTTTTTCCCATCTATAGCTATTCTCTTGTCAAGAGCCTCCTTTCCATCTTTGCAAGAGGGTTCCGTGTCGCACGAGGTCCTCGTGTGACGGCCTCGTTCCCCTCCCCGGCTAGTAGGCAAAGGACTCTCCTCCGCAGTATCCCAATAAAAATAGCAATAATCACGAGCCTGTGGAAGACTCATAGGCTCCTGAAACGCGCGCTTAAAAAGGGGAGCTTAAGCAACGACGACGGCGGCGGCAACGAGGACAGCAAAAAAAGCAATAGGGTTAGATTGACAAAAGAACAATTTTGCTCGTGCATCACACATTTTTTTTACATTTCTTTGCCGTCCTTACACGACTAGTCTACGACTACATCACGAAACTGTCTAATTTCTCGTTTTGTGGAGGACGTGTGAACACAAGACAACGACCCTCTTTTTCTTTTCCTGAACTGTAATACAGTTCTTTAGAATTCAATGATGAATAGCACGAGATGGAATAAGCACGATAAATATTAAAGAGGCCCGAACACTTTTTAACTGACGTTTTTGTACGTAGCTGTCGTCGCCGTTGTGGCTTAAGCTCCCTAAAGAGGCCTCTGCTGTGGTGGAAAGAGCCTGGCAAAGAAAGCTTTGGATATTAGAAATCATAAACTCCTTTGTTTACTCGAAATTTTTGTAGTTAAACTAACTTTCTACCCTTGAGCAAATTAATAACACAGGACGTTCGTTCGTAAAGAATTCATCGTACTGACAGAATGAACATAACAAACTCAAATGAATTTATTTTTTTTTCAGACCAGATAAGGGCAGACAAAAATTGTTCAGAAAACCACGTACATCCAAGCCATCACGCATAATTATTAGAACGTGCTTAATTTATTAATGCTAGTCTGATTAACTTTTATATTGTAAATAGGTAATGTTTTATGCTCCAAGTCAAGAAAAGCAATAAACCGATACGAGAAATCTCTGCTATTTATCTATGTGTAGTGACTTTGTGCTTGATTTTCTCGATCTCTGTAATGGATCTTGGTGGACAAGTTAAGCGAAAGAAAAAGTTATGGGCGAAAAATTACCTCCCGTGAGCAAGCGAGCGCATACTCACAAGAAAATAGTTTTCTTCCCTTGACGTGTACTCAACGTTCTCAAAAACGGAGCTCAGGCTTTAAAGCTTTTAACAGAGCGTTTGGGTATTTTCTCCAAGTGTCTCTGTTACGCCGCACTGATGGGCCCAATACCGGGTGCCCGAACAGCTGTGGACAGTTACAGCCCCACTCTGTTTGGGTCCCAGCCTCATTCCCAGTCGTCCTCGGCGATTGCGGATGTGACGTCACCTGTCAAGCTTATCGGGAGGCTGTTTGGGTCCTACTAGTGTCGTGTTTATCGCTTGAAAAGATATTTTTTACGTAACCTCCCATGCAGATAAACTTAGTACGATCAGGTTTGCAGATTTATGTTCAACTTATTGAGTCCACGTACAAGGGTCTGAAATGGTGCATTAGCCTGTTCTATCCCAGGCAGGCATTTAGATAGAGAAAATAAAGCGAGCAAAACAACAACAACAAAACAAAAGCAGGGAAAAAAAGAGAGGAAGATAATACGGTGGCTCGTACGGACAAAACGTTTCCCATGGTCCAAAAGCAATGTCCAGACTCCAAAACGCGTCCTAGAATCCAAAACACGTTCCATACAGATACACAAGGCTCGATTACCAGCCGCTGTACAGGATATGAGCCCGCGATCCTCCCCTGAAGCTCGAGCTTCCGTCCTTCCACGTGTTTTGGATTCTGGCGTTATATAAAAATTGTAAGAAACTGTGCAACTTAATCGTGTGAATGTAATAACTGTTTTAAAATATGAGTTGAGAGGGAGGAGGCCGGGTTTCAGTGGTTTAAAGCGACGGGGCGGTGAATATTCTGGGAAGTGTTTTGTCCCGGCTCTCCCAATCTTCCTCTTTTTTTCGCTCGCTGCATTTTTGCCGCGCTCCACCATCGGGCCAATGTTGCATTGGCGTAGTGCCACATTCACAGGTGACGTCGTCAAGAGTTATATTCCCCCCTTTTCAGGGAAGCAATACCTATACCGAGGTCTATATCAGACCTCAATCAAAGTCAATTTCCATTTAGCTTAGTTAGTGTCGGTTCCAAGACTAAGTTCTTCCCTTATCTCTATTCCAAAAGTAGTGATTGGAATGAGAACGTTGGTCCTTCCTTCCCACATTGTAACTAGCTCCTTTCTAACTGAATGAATGAATGAACACTTTATTTTAAGTGTCTATGTTGTTAGCTAAAAGCTAATGGGGGACACTGTAGTCTTGAGCTGGTAATGAGGAGACACAATTTTCCGAAACTTTTTGCTTCATTTTAGCCGGCTATTTTCCTGAATGTTCCCTCTCGTCATAGGGAAATTGAACCTCCCCCCCTCCCCCCAGCACCTTCCTCGGCACTATCACACACTCAACCGTTTATGAAAAAATGAAAGCACACGACACGCTTTTTAATCTCTCATTAAATTTTAATTGCCGAAGTTTTTTTTTACAATTTGTATTATTTAAAACCCTGGTAAACAATCAGGGATTAACTAACATGGTACATCTTGTACTCACAATTTGAACTTGCTATTAGCTGAATATTTGTTGTCATGTTTTCAAACTTCAATATATAATTTCTCGATTTGAAAAGTCTCTAATGTACACGTTAAATATTGAATTTTGTCAAATTACAAGTAAAGCATTCTTCACCAACAGATTAATAATATTATGATATTATAAATTACATAGAGATGTCACACAGTTTA